CCTCCTTCCCTTGTGAATTACAACCATCAGGAGCCAGCACCCGCCCGCAGGGCGGGCAGTCCAATCGCTGTAGTTGTTCTTAACACGCTGGTTCACACACCTGCCCCTCCGCCCTGCCCTCCCTGTGCAATCTCCCCGGGGCTGCAGATAAACCGGTGTCAGCTGGAGCCTCCCAAGTTGCCCCGGACCCCATCGGTCTATTTCTCAGCCCCACCTGCCGAGGGTGCCATTCAACAGGATCCCCGGCAGCCCCGGCCCCAACGGTGCAGCCTCAGGCCACGCTGGTTAGAAAGGACCTGTCCTGAGGTCTCTCTTCTCCACTGGACTGTGACCCCTGAGGATGGAGCGCTCAGCACATCTTTCTGTCCCCTGCTCCGTGCACAGTGCCCGCAGGGGCAGTGCCCCATCCAGGCTGGCTGGGCCCCACGGCTTTGCTAGACGCCTCCCTAAGCCTCAGGGCTCATGTCGGTCAGTGATTGTGGGAGCAGCTGGGAGCCACTGCTCAGCCGCCTGGGCCAGTCCTCTTTGAGAGCTGCTCTGCTGGGCGGCCGGGCACTGGGCAAGGCTGGCTCCTGGCTGGGCGCACTGTGGAGGGAGCGCCCGTTTGGTGGCGGTGCTCAGGCCTAAGACCAGCCCCCAGTTCCTCGGGTTTCTGGGGGTCTGGAGTGTCATTATCTGGGGTCTGTGTGTGGACCTTGGGGGTGCTTGTCTGTGAACCATCTGAGATCATGTGCAAAACTCCAGGGGTATGTGGTATAGGGCAGTGGTTGGCAAACTGGCTCGCGAGCCACATGCGGCTCTTTGGCCCCTTGAGTGTGGCTCTTCCTAAGCCTTGGGAGCACCCCAATTAAGTTAATAACAATGTACCTACCTGTAGAGTTTAAGTTTAAAAAATTTGGCTCTCTAAAGAAATTTCGATCGTTGTACTGCTGATACTTGGCTCTGTTGACTAATGAGTTTGCCGACCACTGGGCTAGGGGCTGTGCCTGGCTGGGGAGAGGGCCCTTCGTTGACTTGTATTCCCAGAATAGGTTACTGGCCCCAAAGGGTTAAGAATAACTGTCTTCCATATTCATTTGATAAAAAATAAAACCTGGCTGTCTCATTCGGCAGCCGTAGGGCCAGAGTGAGGCCGGCATGTAGGGGCCACCTCCTCGGGGCTCTGTACTGCCGCTCCCACCGCCCAGCACCCCCCCGGGGCTCGGGGAGGCCTGGGAGGCCAGGCCAGGCCAGGCCGGTGCACTCATTAGTTCAACTCCTTATTCATTTCACTTGCATTGGATGAGCTCCTATGCCCGGGGCTGGGGAAAGCCCGAGGCCTGGAATACGCCACCTGCTTGCTCCCGGGAGCGCCACAGCGGGCGGCGTGTTCTCCAGGGCTGCGCCAGATAACCCACTATCCCTGTGCCTGGCAACATACATTGCTTACCGGTAGAGTGGTACGTGTAAGATAGACAGGCGATATGTGGTCAAAACAGTTTGGTGGGCAGTATAGAGACCCAGTGCCGACCGCCCGTCTGAGGGAGAGGCCTCCCAGGTGGACAGTCGCTAGGCTGGTCTCCCCGAGGGCAAGGGGGTTGCCAGGAGACCCCCTTTAAGATTATAATCCCCCCAACTTTATTTTGAATATTTTCAAACATGTAAAAACGTTGAAAAGAGTATAAAGATCATCTGCATTTTTACTACCTGGACCCAACCAAGAATGAACCTTTGTCATATTTACTTTATATGCTTGTCATGTATTCCTTTATCTTTTTTTTCCCCAA